GGGGCACCCTCCCGCCACGGGGCATCCCGGTACGGAGCATCCTCCCGGCACGGAGCATCCCGGTACGGGGCACTCTCCGGGCACAGAGCATCCCGATACGGGGCACCATCCCGATACGGGGCACCCCGGTACGGGGCATCCCGGCACGGGGCACCCCTAGCATGGAGCATCCTCCCTGTATGGAGAATCCCTGGCACGGAGCACCCTCCTGGTACGGGGCATCCCTATTGTGGAGCATCCTCCCGGTACGGAGCATCCCCACACAGGCACCCCAGTACGGAGCATCCCCTGGTACAGAGCACGCCCCGGTACAGAGAGAGCCCTTCCCTCGGCAGGGCTGAGCCCAAACCCTGCCGCGGCGGGAGCAGAGCCTGCACCCATCCCGTGGGTGACTCAGGGGCACGGGGGGAACCAGAACCTGCCAAAAACCAGCCCCACTTCATGCTTTGCCCTTGGTGGTCCAGGCAAGGAGGGACCCTGGCTCTCAGCCCAAGCTGGGGTGCAAGGGAGCACCGGGATCCCCCAGCCCTGTTGAAGGGCCACAGCAGGGAGCACCCAGGACATGGGGCACCCTGGGCATGCAGCGGGTGCTGGGAAAGGGGCACAGAGGGAGCCCCTTGGGGGGTGAGCCCTGTGCAGGGACAGAGGCACCAGGGCCCCTTCCTTGGCCCCAGCCTGGGCTGAAGGAGGCAGAAAAGTTGGGGAGCTTACGAAGCAGCGGTAGGCACAGCCCTGTATGCGGGAGAGCGGGATGCTCCTCTTCACAGCATCCGCTCCAGCTCAGATTTGAGTTTTCCTTAGGGTTGAAGTAGATCTGCAAGGGGAAGCCCTGCAGGGAGGTGTGGGGTGCTCCATGATCGCCCCAGACAGCCCCAGCACAGACCCCACGCCAGGAAATTGCTCTTTACTGAGCTTCCCATGCATCTCTTGGGAGAGCAGCTTGCCACAAACATTGCTATTCAAATCTCTGCAAATTCATGGAAAAGCCTGGTCACCCCAAGCCTGTTCTCTAAACCTGCGATGATCCGAAAGATGAGTCGAGGAACGTGCCCAGCACACACTGGTTCAGAGCAATTACTGGGGCTGGGAGCCTCTCTCCAACACGCAGTCGGCTCCTTGATCCCCCTCTCCTTTCTCATTTCCCCTCGACCCCACAAATTACAGGGAGTGGGGGACTAGGGCCCCCCTTAGCCTCAGTCAGGGGGGCAGGTGGGGGCTCACAGGGCCTGCTGGGCCCAGCACGGCTGCAAAAGCATCGGACGTGGCTTCCCCGTGGGCAGGGAGAGCAGCAGCTCCTGCAAAACAGACTTTTTGCTGGCCAGAAGCTGGTGCCACCCACCAAAACAGGGGGCTGGGGGGGTAAAAGGCCCCATTCCAGCCTGTGCTGCACCCGGGGGGACCGTGCAGAGGAAAGGGGGGGTTAGGGAAGGTTCTACGTGTGTGACTGCTTTAAAGTGGGTGCCCTTTGATATTTATCCAGCAAGGGGCCCTGCTCACCCAGAGGGCCGGCACCACGCTTTGGGGTGACGGCTGGCAAAAAAGCTTTGAGCGCAAGGGCTGGCAGGTTCCAGCCTGGGCTTTGGCCGCCTTCCAGCTGCTGCCCTTGATCAAGCAAAAAAAAAAAAAAACCAACAAACCCAAAGCCCCTGTCCTCTCACCCTCTGCCAGGCCAATGTTTTGCAAGAAATAGAAGCAGAGATCGATGCCGCGAGGGGAGCCGTGCCAGCAGGGGATGAAGCCCCCTTAGCCCATCTCTGAAGGCAGCCACAGCCAGGGCGCTGGGAGGTGGCGGCAGGCAGGCACCCCCGTGTCCCCCCATGGCATGGGTAACAGCAGCAGGGAGAGGCAATGTGGGGAGGTTTGGACCCTGCACCGTGTCTCCATACACCCAGTAACCGCCAGGGAAAACGAGGCCTCGGGGGTTCCAGCGCATGCGGTGACAGCGAGGGACGGCAGAGCCGGCTGCTCTCCACCACGCGCTCCTGGCGCAGGTTCTGGCTTTCGCTCCCAGGGCAGGTCAGAGCTCTGCAGGTCCGGTGCCAAATCATCACCCACCTTCACACCAGTCTTGTCCCCAGACAGCGGCTCACAGCCCTCGGTCGCAAGGCGTGCACCCGGCCAGGCCTGCCCTCGGCAGCCTGGACTCTGGCTCGTGGTGCAACTTTCAACTCAAGCTGCTCGTTGCAGGGTACGAAGCCCAAACATCAAACTGGTGCCAGTACAGGCAGCCCAGCTTTGTCCGTACACAGGTTATCCAAACAGCGTACGTTAACCTCCAAACAGCAAACATGCACATTGCAGGATGCTGGGTTTTTTCCACAAAATCTTAACTAAAGAAAGAGCAGGGCAAGTGCTCCGTCTCACCCCGATACCTCCCAGCTCTGGATGCAGCCACCTCATAGAAGAATGGAATCGTTGAGGTTGGAAAAGCCCTTTAAGATCCCCATGCCCAACCGTTCCCCTACCCCTGCCATCCCACCACTAAACCCTGGCCCTAAGCACCTCAGCTGCCTGGCTTTTAAATCCCCCCAGGGATGGGGACTCAACCCTTTCCCTGGGCAGCCCCTTCCAGAGCCTGACAGCCCCAAGGGGAAGGAATTTTTCCCGATGTCCAACCTAACCCTGCCCTGGCACAACTTCAGACCAGCTGGGCTCCCCTCGCTGGTGGCTGCCCGAGGCTCTGTGGCCGGCTGTCAGTGAAGCCTACGGCCCTGAAGTCACTTAAAAATCACCACCGCCATCCCCAAACGTGCATTTAAAGCCGCTTTATTTCTCTCCGTTGTTGTGGTCTCTGTGCCTTACTCTCTCCTGATAGCATGGGCCCCAGGGCAGGACCCGGCCCTTGGCCTTGTTGACCCTCACCCCATTGCCCTGGGCCATCCAGCCGGTGTTTTACCCAGCAAAGAGTGCACCCGTCCAAGCGCCGAGCAGGCAGTTTCTTCTCCAGGAGAATCCTGTGGGAAGCGGTGTCAAAGGCTTTACTAAAGTTCAGGCAGACAACACCCACAGCCTTTCCCTCATCCACTGAACAGGTCACTTCAAGTCCATGTCTACAAACGTTTATGGGAGAACCCGTGACCCAAAAACCTTCCCAGCTGCATGATCAGAGATTCACAAGCCCCACAAAGCCCAGTCCTGTCTGACCAGGGACTGGGGTTTTGGCCTTATGCTCAGTGGCCACTATCGGGTTGTTCTGGCCAGCGGCTGCAGCCTTCAGCTCGGGTCTCCTGTGGTGCAACACCGCGGATGCCAGGCAGCTCTTGATCAATTCAGGCAACAAGGCTGCTGGAGGGGATAAGCAGGTCGCCGCAACGGGTAACAGAGAACATCAGGGAACAGCGGCGGCGAGACAGGGCAGGGCAGAGAAGAAGTTAACACCGATCAGCTCCAGTTCAGCCCAGCTCCTCTCACGAGCTGCTGGAGCGCTCCCAGGGCGCCGTCCGACTCACGTGGAGCCCGGACGAGGCGTTTCCGCACCCGGGGCGCAGCTCGGGCAACGCAGACACCCGCTGCCTGTCCTCTTGGCTGGTCACGGGGAAGGGCTGCGGATCGCTGCCTGCGGCACAAAACGCGTTTTCATCTATGGGAACAGCTCGGTGACAGAGAGGCCTACAAGGCAACTAAAATAAGTTACAAGTTATTTAAAACAACAAAAGTAAGCACTTTATTTCCATTAAGCATGTTGTTTTAGTATCACAATGGAATGATGAGAAAACGTTTAAAAAAAAAAAACCAAAAAAAGTCTCTAATCCCCAAACAGCAGGGAGGTTTTCAAGGCAATTTAAAAACAAAAGGAGTGACAGAAGTGCCAGAACAGTCCCAACATCACGAGACGACTCCTCCGAGAGCTGGGCAGGGGCAGGAAGGTGGAATGACACGAAGGTACGAATGTCTGAAGTGGTCTTTGGCGCTTCTGCCTCACGTTTGATACGTACACGATCTCTCAAGACAACTTCACAGAAATCTCCAGACGCAACAAAGTGCTACGTTAGTAGAACAAAACCCCGGCGAGAGGACTTTCCGTACGGTTGAGATGCCCTGCGGTTGGGCGTTAAGACACATCCTGCAGACAGTGCTGACTCCAGCTGGGGGCCTTTGGGTTGGGAAGAGGAAAAAAAAAAAAAAAAACCCAAAAAAAAAAAGGAAGCGTGGTGCGTGAATCCAAGATGTGCCCATGTGCAAGACACTGCGCCCTGCAGGACTGACAAAACCAGGGAGGAGAGAAGGTGGTGGCAAAATGAAACACGGATCCGTTCCCTACAGTGATCGAAACACGAGTCCAGTGCAGTAACTATAGTTTCACAGTTCCAGGGGGCAAACTGTCATTGCAGAGTCTGTAGTAACGCAGGTCATTCACCAGTCTGTGCACATTCTGGGTAAACGATGGCAGATCCTGGAAAAGATCAAACACCACGTTGTACGGCAAACAGAGCAATCCCTACAAGCACTGCCTCACAGCGGAGAACAGAAGGGAACCGAGGAGGCCAAGCATCCGCCTGTATTTTCGTACTTGAGAACAACAGACCCCTTCCTCCGGAGTCTGAGCCCAGGAAACCCGAGTTCCTGCAGCCCATGTGCAGGGAGCAGAGACTGCTCCAGAGCTGAGAGCTGGCTACAGAGATCTGGGCTCTGTGGACGGCACCGGCTTCTCGGCGTGCGGCCAGGCACTGCACGGAATGGTCGGGGCACGGCCATCTGCAGCGGCAACTGCTCGCTGCGTTCCTGCCAAGGCTCCCGGCTGCCACCT